GCTGCCTACATAATGAGGGTGATCCTTAATGCTAACACCCCCCTGGCGCTCCCTATAGCATACTGGGGCATCTGTCCTAAGTGCCCCAAATAGGCTGGCACTGCCTCTGACACCCTTCGGATGACAACATTTTGTTTGAACTCACACATAAAGCTAGTACTTCTCCACAGGGCTTCTCTCTGCTTTGAAAATACAAAGTCCATAAGGGCAGGAAAGACCTAGTAGGTCTGCTCATCCCGCATCCCCAACAGACCCTCCAAATGCCTTACAGATGAACAGACAGAACAAACCTTAGGAAGTGAAGTTTCAAAAACCCAAGACAGGACCAAGAAAGACAAGTTCCCTCAATGTATCTGAGAGACAATATCTGTTTTAGTCAATACGAACCCCAGAGCCAAGCCCATACTTTGCAGGAGGAATGGAAAATTAGAGGGGAAGGAATGAACAGCAACAGAAAGCTATCCAGTATAGATCACCGAAAGAAAGCCCAAGGTGTCAGATAACCACGATCATGCCGGCCGCACACTGCAACGTAATCTTGGCTTGACAAAATAAATGAGTGTAAACTGAAGCCAAACAAAACCACAGTAGATCTTGTTTGTAAACACTGGCAAAATCAGCTAAAAGTCACAACAGCAGGCAAGTCGGCTTCTCTGTTACCCTTTGCGGGCAGGTAAAAAGATAACTTATAACCCCAATGCTCGGATGACAGCTGACAGCCCGAAAATTAACCCAAGTCATAATAAAAGCTAAATGGCTTGCTTTAGCATTAAAAGAAAATTGCATCCAAATGTAATTTCTTTCTCTCTTGGCCCTTGCAACCCTCAATTAAGCAAGCTATATAAAAGGTAATCCAAAAATTATCACAACTTCTAGGCCAGCATCCAAGCAAGGCCACCCACCGCAGTCAAGCACTGACTCAATCAAAAAATCCTGGGGGCCTACTAGGTGCCTGTCACCGTGCTAGGTGTTGAGAGACGCTGGTGAAAAAGCTAAGACTCTATCCTTGTGGGATGCTACTGGGGAAGACAGACTATAAATAGGTAAACAAAGCCCAAATGATTGCCGGTGTGCTGTGGTGAGCACTTGTAGACAAAAAGGTGTGGCTATGTTAGCAAGCAATGGCGGTGCTCAGGAAAGACTCTGCAGGTGACCCTGATGTCGGAATTGGAAGCATGAGAAGGAGGAAGGTATTCGCAGAGTATCTGCAAGAGCATCCCAAGCAGAGGGAAGAGCAAGTTCAAAGATCCCCAGGCGCAGCAAGAACAGAAATGAGGCTCACGTTAGCAGAAGGCAGTGAGGGACGGCCAGAGTGACAGGGAAGCTGGGGATGAGGCACAGGCCAGCCCCCTGCGGCTGAAGGGTGTTCAAGAAAGAGGGTGATGTGATCCGATCTGTGATTTTAAAAGCCAGTCACTTGGGCTCCTGTCTGGAGAACGGACTGGAGATACCCAGGGTGGAAGCTGGGGGACCTGTTAGGATGTTGGTCCAGGAAGGAGGTAGCGGTGGCCAGGACCAGAGTGGGAGCTAGGATCGTGAGGACAGGTGGAGGCCAGATAATATTCTGGAGGTGGAACCATGAGACCCACTGATTGCATGGATGTGGAGGGCGGGGGAGAGGACAAGCAAGGACAACTCTTGGCAAGTGGGTGGACGGTGGGGCCACGGCCTGGGATGGCGAGGACGAAGGGCAGGAGAGAGCTGGAAGGGGTCTCAAGAGCTTCATTCAGGGACTAGAGTTGGAAGCCCCCAGAAGGGCTGTGTTGGAAATAAAAACATGGGGGTCACCAGCAGGGGTGGGGTCGGGGGGTGGATAACATTGTAGGAAGAGAGTGTTGAGGGCACAGAGGAAGCAGGTCCAGTCCCTACGTGGCCCCATCATTCAGAGGTCACAGGAGCAAGAGTGGGGGGGACTGAAGAGGAACCATCAGGAAGGGGAGCAGAAAACCAGGGGGGTGCGGGGGCCAGAAGCTGGAGGGCGGGGGGAGCATGGGGGGTGGGGGAGCTGTTGCGGGGGGGGCGTGGCCACTGGTGAGGAACCCCGCCAAGGGGCTAACAACACAAGGACAGAGACCCGGCAGCACGCTGGCTACCAGGGGCCCCGCAGCGGGGGTGGGACTGCAGAGCGTGGAGGGTAAGGAGTGGTAGGAGAAAGCCAATGGACAGAGTGGGTTTGGGACTTATCTTCGGAGATGTTTTCAGGTGAAGGGGAGCAAAGAAGCAAGAGAGAAGATGACAGAAGCGGAAGCTGCGCTCTCCAATATGGCAGCCACTACCCACATGTGGCTACTTCAATTTCAATTAAATTAAAAATTCAGGTCCGCGGTCACACTAGACACATGCAGCTGGGGGCAGCCGTCCCGGGCCACGCACACACAGCACATTCCTGTCAGTGTGAAAAGTCTACAGGACAGCCCTGAACCAAAGCCCGCATGTATAGGGATCAGACAGACCCTGGAGGGAGGTGGCTTGACGAGGCGAGAGGGGACGGGATGGACGGTCCTGGGTGGAGGACCAGAGGAGCGCCTGGCCAGCCGCTGAGCCGGGTGGCAAGAAAGCCACCAGGGCAGCCACCCGCGGGACTGCAGGCGGCAGGGACGCGAGGCGTTCCTCGGTCTGCTGCTCCCAGCTTCATTTGTCAGTGAAGGTGTGTGCGGGGAGAGGGGACCGGACTGAGGTGGGAAGGTAGGAAACAGCGGCCTCGGACAGAGAAAACACAAACTTACTGGGGAAACCACACGCTTAATGCAAAACACTTCACAGAAGAGAAGCGGAAACAGTGAATGTCTGAAAGAGGAAAAGCATCTTAAGTGGGGAAGAAGTAAACTCAGATTTTTTTTCCCCATAAGTCTTGGCCACGTCCGCACAGTCGAGCTGTAGCAGGGCAATAGGACCACAGGGAGGTTCTCTACGGACTGCCCTTTTGTTCCCCAACCACCCCCCCCCATCCTACTCAACTCTCGGAAAGGATGACATTGGTTCTATTTTCGGTGAAAATGGCTCCCTCCACCCTCCTCTGTCTGAACTGCTTATCCAGCCTTAGCTCCATCTCAATTTACAGCCACGGTTTGCAGGCTCACATACGTTGCAGAAGAAGTGGATAGATTGAAACTGACAGAAGTAGGCAGGAGTTACAAATCAGCCCTCACCTGCAAGAAGTGAGTAAGACATGTACTGAATGATGTTCAAAGTCCAGGAAAGTCACGTTCCACTTCAACACGATCCCCAAGATACTCCACCCTGATGCTCCACAAACAAAAATTACTTCCTGACATTTTCTTTAAGCTTTTATGAGTAAACATTTTCATTTCCACAGAACTATTTGATCTCAACCACAAAGTTTCAATATTTGTTTCTGATCATGCAAGTGTGTTGAGTTGGTTTTGTGCGTGCTGCCTGAGGAGGGAGGGACAGAGAGAGTTAAAATTACCAGATCCCTTTTATCTTCCATCTTGAGACCTACATTTGCCAACTCCTTTTCACCCCTGTACATTTTTTTTTTAAGTATGAAATCTGAGAACCTCAAAGGTTCCCGCTGCACAAAGAGCAGCCCTTTCATAGTCTACCGAGAGATCACTGGAAATATTACAGAAAACCTGCTTCCCCACTAGTGCCCCTCTGGCATAATCACCCCCAGTTTCTCTATGTATGAAATCTCCTGGATTGGCACCAATGTCTTGAGCAAATCTCTTGGCCCCTTTCTCTCCCCTCTATCCTGTTCATGGAGGTCTGGAGCCCTCCCACTTCCCTTCATCAAAATTCCTCTCCGCCTGCCTCTGGTTCCTCCCAACAGGTTGCAGACCCCACAGATAACGTTCACTGGGTAAGTTTCACTCCAGAAACTTACCTGGAGTGAGGTGCCATAGAGCCACTGACCGGTGGGAGCCAGATCAGGCCACCAGGACAGTCTCGCCCTTTTCCACTCCTCCCCAACCCCATAGAGAAAAGCACGATCTCTAAACCCAGCCAGCAAAAGTCTTAGGGCCATAAGAAGGGCTGTTTGAAGGGCACTAAGCATAACAGCAGGGGACACAGAGATTCAGGAACTCTGGTTCGCTGACCCACACCCCCACACCCCTGTGGTCGCTGTCAGGCTGTGGCTTCCCCTCTGCGGATGCACAAAATGTCCTTCTACAAACGCTCATCAGCTGCCCAACCTGGGGACAGTCACCTAACCACTTAAGGCATCAGTTTCCTCTTCTGTAAAATGGGCATAATGACTGTTCCCGGAATAAGGAGGGCGAACCTCACCATGTGCTCCCGTAGGGTGAGCAGATGTAAGGAGTTAATCGTGTTAGCACAGCGGCTCCCTGACTCACAAGCGCCTACTGCTCAGAGACGCCAAGGAGAAATCAATCCTGCTTTTTAAATTACTTTATATACTCACAAGCATTAGTCACTTGGACAGAGTATTTCAACTTCTCCCCTGAGCATCCTACTCCGTTGTGTCGAAGACTGGAGCCTCACCCCGGCTCCTTCCAGACTTCATCACCCTCATCTGTCTCAAAGCAGAGTCAAAGTCCACTATTCCTACCTCGGGGAGCGGGGTGGGGGTGGGGGGTCACGATTATTTCGTCTGTTCCCTTTACAGGAAAACTTCTACTTCCATTCTGCTTGTAATAAACCCAGTCGTGGAGGACGACAAACTGCTTCTCACACTCACAAACACAGGCCCGGGAGTTGATCGCGCCCGGGACCGCCGTCCCCGCGGCTGCGGCGCGCCCGGGCCGGCTCGGAGGCGGAGGGCCCCGGGCGTGCGGCCGAAAGTCCGCGCCCAGGCCGGGCTGGCCCTGCCGGGGAAGGGGTGAGGGGGAGGAGGTCGCGCGCCGGGGCGGAGGGCGCGGGGTCGGCGACCCCCGGGCTGGCAGACGCCGGCCGCGCGCTCGTCCCCCGGCCCCCGGTGCGGGGAGACGGCGCGAGGGGCAGAGGGCGCCGGCCCCCCGGGGGGCTCCGAGCCAGGGACGCGTCGCGGCCCCTCCGGCGGGCGCCGGCTCACTCACCCCATCTCCGGCGCTGCTCCGGCGGCCGCTCCGACGGGCCCTCTGGCGCTCGTTCCCCGCGCGCTCCGCAGCCGCTCCCCGCGCGGCACATGCGGCGGCCCGTGCGCGCCCGGCTCAGCCCCGGCGCCGCTCCATTCCGCGGGGCTGCGCGGCTGCCGCTGCTGTTGCCGCCGCCGGTGCCGCCGC